AAAGGAAAAACCTCATGCTGTTGCTTAATATAGGAGTCAAGGTTTTGCAATTTAATTTCAATAATTTCGGAGACATGGCAAACTGTCAGACATTTGTCGAATGGGGGCATTCGAAGTGGAAGTGGAATGAAATCAAATCGATTGGAATTTAATGATATTATATCAATATTTTCGCATTGTTTTTTTTGCATCACTTCTGGTTTGTTTTTTGTAATCGTATGCTGTAATGACATGCAATTATTTTCACATTAAACCCCGTTTCCGTTATTGTAGCGAGACATTAACGCCCGGCCACATCCGGTAAACAGCTATGAGGGCTGTCAGTTAATGGCCAGCAAACAACATTGACGTTTCGTTGATTAAACAATCAATACTTCAATCGTATGCTCAATAGTTTTTTCCCGCTGCTGTTGCTGCCTTTTTGAATGCACAATTTTTATCTCTGGCTTTTATACCCTGTAGCCATGGGCTTGCGTAAGCAGGGAATCACGGAGCTCTACAGGTAGAGTCGGGCAACTGTATATTGCATGCATATCCTCTCAGTATCAGACCTTAGATGTATTTGTCGGAGTGTAAAAACTGCTATATGCATCCTTAGCATATCCCATTGTGAAGCAAACCGCATTCCATATTTAGCTTTGCGTGATATCTGTACTTTGAGCATGCTCGTCTAGAACATTTTTACTTATTCTGTCTGCTATTGTCTCTTCGTAATTAAAGTGATATGTAGGTGGGCAGACAGTAACGGTTCTGCTCCGTGCTCATCAGCATTAACATTATGATAACTATCTTCATTATTATCAACAAGAGCCGGAGCTGGAGCTGGAGCCGGAACAGCAGCAACAGCAAGAGCAGCCGCTGCGTCCTTGCTTGGCATCCAACATGCGCATATTAAAAATTATTTTTGCATATGCTGGCAAAATGAAAATGGGCGTGGCTCAAAAAGGAAAGCAAACATTTTTGGAATGAAAAAAGTTGCGGAAAATTGCATTTTAAAGCGCGCGAAGCAGCTGGAAATGTTGCAGGCATTGCTTTAATAAATACCTATTTTTCATATATTTAATATCAATTTCACACTCTTTGGCTTATTTCTGCTGGCAGGACACACCCAGTGCGATGCACTGCAAATTGTCTTTGCCTTCAACGGTCAGAAATATTAACATAACATTTGTCCGTGATATTTTCATTTAATTGTACTTAAAATGGATGCGAAATTAACTACAGACAGTATATTTTTCTGCCGCAAAAGGAAGTGAGCTTCATAAGTGGTACTTGCTCTTTCAAAATATTTTGAGTGGCTTTAAAATGAAAGTGTATCATTACTAGTTCACATTGAGTTGTTTGGCAAACCAAGTCGGTTTCTATCTGATTGTAGCCCACAATATTGCATACTTTTGCGCTGAAAATTAAATAATTTCTACTGCATACTTTTGCGCTATTGCGGTATTTTAAATATAAATATTTCATAACATATAGCAAGAACTTTCTTTTCCATTTCTGTGACTTTCAAAGGATAATCTGCTGCGCAAGCATCCAAACTTTATATTTTGGCTTTAAGGGATTTCTTTTATTTTGTATAGTTTATATATATTTATTGAATGAATTTTATTTCGTTTTAAATTTACCTAATTGTATTGTTTACCTTAGCTCCTGCAGATTGTGTGCCCCTTTAGTTTTTTTCAGGTTATGCAGTATGCTTGTCGCTTGTTATAATTTGGCCATGTCTAGACACTTTTAATATACACTTATAAATACTTCGGCCTTGGGCACATGTGTATTACTCTTGTTGTTGCCCACTGCTGTCTGCGTTTTAAAGTTGAAAACACTCGTACGCCGCAATCCCCACATAAATCTTGCCAACGAACACACTTACAAACATTTGGCCAACTATGCGTGTGTGCGTGTGTAAGCATGCACATTAAAAGTTTGCCTAAGAGCTTATGGCGCCATTTGTTAAAAGCGATTTTTAATGCAGCTTCAAAAACTCAACCCTCACATTCATCCGCACACACACACACACACACACACACACGCCTATGGAGATTGGCACCCCCAATGCCATCGCTGACACATCTAATGGCTTTGCACGCATTAGAAGCGAAAGTTTTTTTTTATAATGAGCGCACATTATTTTCGTACACTGGTGCAGAGTAATCGAAAAAAGTCGATGGAAATGGGAGAACATGTTTTAAATATTCCTAAAACGTTTTTCAGTTCTAAAGAGAGTGGGCAAATAATACTTAGCTCTCCTGTGGCTAGAATTTAATTTAAATATTACTTATATACAAAAGTCTCACCAATTCGAATGGGAAGTTCGTTCATTTTTAGGGTTACACATCGGAATCAATTTTTCATAGAGATAAAAGAATATTTGTGTGCTCTGTGTACTTAATTAATTTATATAAAGTTAAATAGAACTGTAGCAAGCGTATTTGGCATTCGTTATGATAGTCTTTTGACGGTGTTTAGCATATTTCAACTGATATCCAGTTTATTGTGTGAGGCTGGTGGGTGGGCAGAGCGGGCGGGCACCGACATTGGCTGCTTCATAATTAGCTGAAGCGCATTAGAATGGAATTAAATGATTTTTGTCACAGCTTGACATTGGCGGGATTTAGCTGAAATGGAGAAGGGATTAAAGAGCTTCACTGGCAATTGCTGGCGCTTAATCAATTTAACTGTTTCAACTGCTCATAAAGTGCTTCGGCTGCATTTCCCGCTGACATTTTAATTGAAAAACTAAATAGGATGAAATGCCTCTGCATATCTGAAATTAAATCAAATGTTGTCCGCCTCCTCCTCTCTGCGTGCCTGTGTGTGTGTACGTGTGTGTAGATTGTTTTTTGTGCCAGTAAATATATTAATATTTCAATTTCATGCTAAGTTTGCTTTACACAAAACAAGAATCATATAAATGATAAATAACAAACAAACAACAAACGCATTTAAAAACTTGTATAGCTATGAGTTTTGTTTGCTGCAACATTTAAGCATAAATAAATGAAATTGAAATTGTATGATATATTTTGCTTATCACATAAATAAATAAATTCCTGCAATTGCCTGACAAAGTGTACTGCAAAATACTTTGGACATGACAAATAAAATTGTCAAAATTTGTAGATTTTTCAAAGCGTAGAGCGCATTGTGCAGAATGTTGATAAGTATAGTATACAAAGGATACCCTACCCTTGCAGGCCTTTTGGAATATTAAACAAACTTTAGGGCATTAAAAGGCTGGCGCCCATTTCAAAAGAAACATTTTCTGAAATGTTGCAATAAAAATTATAATAAATATGAAAAATCTTTTTTTTTTTTGTTTAAGGCTAACAAATATGCAGAACGCCATGCTATTAAGAAATATGTGTATTAAGCATTAATTGAATGCATATTATGGCAGATTAAATTTATGTTAATGTCATTAATCAACGAAAAACTGTTTGCTACCAATTTGAGTGCAACATTTGCCTGAGGTCAGCGTAAGGGCAGAGTGAGAGAAATCATTTAAAATCATCTGTTACACTGACTGCAGCAACGCATTAATGTCAATCAGCTGTGTAATTAATGCGGTTAACTGAGCAGCAAGATCATCATCATCTGCAGCAGCAGCAGCAACAGCAACAATTGCAGCTGCAACAACAACAACAACAACAATGAATGACGAACGTTGGCTAATATGGCTAATAATATGGCTAATCTGTCTGGCACTGATTTGATTAGAGCTGAATCATTTGCCATTCAGCTCTGGGCCGTGCAATGCGATGCAAATGCGACATATTTGCGGTAGCTCGAATGTCAGCAACATCATCAACATCAACAGCAGCAGCAACAGCAACAGCAGCAATAGCAACGCCCAAACAACAACAACATTGACATCAAACACGTCAGGGCGAGGGCAATAATTAGCACTTGACAGCTTGTCGTGGTCTGTGTGCAACTACAAGAATTTTGTATTTGTATCTGTTAGTTGTATCTACATTTGTATATGCGGGCATGTTTTAGCCAGTAGTCAAAAATGCTTTCAGTGTCGACCGGCGTCGTCGGCAAAGTTATTTGCCGCGGGCAATTAATTAAACGCGACGCCGTGATAAATTCTGTTTTCCGCAAATGCTCTAAGCACAAATGGATGGTTAGACTATTTGAAACGCTTTGTTTAAGTTCAGCACGTGCGAAACCTTGCTATTAAATATGCTTAATTGCCGTACATTTTGGACATAGAACCCAAAATTAATGGCTTCGCCTAAGTCACACAAATGGAAACGGATAATATTATTGTTCCAATTAGAAAACGGTAGCACCCAATTGGATAACTAGTTTTGGAGCTTGCATTCCCAACAAATCAGAAATCTTTTTATGTACTTCTCATCGTAGGAGCTCAAACCAAAAATATTTAACTCGAACTTATGTAAAGAGAATGTATCTTATGTCTAAATCTTGATCTAGGCTTCAATTGGAAAGGCTGGTTCTGAGGAACTATAACTTATTGCCACTCCGTAGAGTTGAGAAAAGAAACCAGATGTTTCAGTGCCAGCTTAATCAGACTGCCTTAATCTTTCGAAGTCGCCCTGAAGAGAGAGAGAGAGAGCTGATTCTGCTTCTTGGAACTGCGTTCAAAAGGGCAAACGTAGAGTAAATCTTTAGTTTATATTTTCACTCCTACAACAGAATAAATCATGCATTCATTTGTCATATGATCGATGGACTCGACTGGTAATTTCCATTAGCTACAAAATGTTCAAGTTTATAGATTTTAGAAATACACATAATTTTAATGCAAGCTAATAATGTGTTAATAAAAGCATATTTTTGTAAAATGTGCACAGACTAATTTTTGTTTCTAGCTTATTTTTGCTTCTGCATAAATATCTAAATATCATAAATTGTTGCTAATAAATAAAAGCTCAACTTAAAAAAAAGTTCAACTCATTTTTCTTGGTTTCTTTGTATTGTTTTAAATTAATTTTATTGTTGCACTGCGCTTAACTAATTTAATTAATTTACTAGATTTTAATATGACGTGGAAAGGGCGTTAGCGTTGGCAGCGGACCGCGCGGCGGATGCGGCGTCGTGGACTGAAAATATGTTGCATACTGACGGATGAGGTCGGGCGAGAAGCGCGAAGAGCCGGAGGTTTCGCTGGCAATGCTGTTGGTTCTGGCTGCCACGCGTGCGCTCAGCTGCTGCGGCTGTGCAACATGTGGCACGAGCGGTGGCACAACCGGTGGCTGCTGCGTGGTGACGGTGGTTTTGATGATGCTGCTGCTGCTGCTGGCTGCCTCCACTTGTGGCTGCACCACATCCGCAGCGAAGGGCGGCAACAAATCCAAGGCGAGCGTTGGCTGCTTGGCGCTGGGCTGCTCAGCCCTGATGGCCGTCTCCTTGGTCCTGGCCTGCTGCTGCTGCTGCTGCTGATAGTATGACTTTTTGGTGGGCTTTGTGGCTGGCGTCGAGGCCTCCGTTGTGGACTCCTCCAGTGGTGGCGGCAATAAATCATTGAATGGCACCAGTACGTCCTTAGGCGCCGCTTGATTTATGTGCGCCACATCGGCGGCACAGTGGCAAATCAATGCGGCAGCTGCGATTAATAACTGTAAAATAGTTGGGAAATGCTCTTAAGTCATGTGCGGACGATACGAAAAATGATCGATGGCTTTTGGCGTGTGTTATTGCTTTTTTTTTCTTTGTGCTTCTATTTATGTTTACACAATATAATTAGCTTTGCTTTTGGGCACAAATTATGCAGTCGTTTCTGCTTTGGACGGAATTTTATGGCACAGCTCATTTGGTTATAGTCTAGATTTGAGTTGTTTGTTCGCAGAGTGGGCAGCGAACATTTCGAGCTGACCTCGAAAGCAATATCGTGAAGGGGAAACATCTGTAACCTTGCATTGTATGATAATTTGTATCACATTCCCCCTTAAGAACATAAATATCGTACATAACTTGGGTGCTAGCTAAAGGAGACACGTGCTTCTTTTAAAGCTTGCTGAATTTGACAGAAGTTACAATAAATTATGCTTAAAATGGAGTGCAAGCCAATTTATGGCTATGTTTAACCTATTAGCCAAAAATAAACGCAAATTCACTTTTGGCTATTTATATTATAAACCTGTTGTTCTACATGGAATTTGAATTTTTGCCAACAAGGTTTTGCTCGGTTATGCAAAAATTCTTGTATATTTTTTCTTGCATTATTTATAAATTGACTTCATATTTCAAATTAATTGTTGTTCATCAAAGCATCCGCAATATGCAAATCACTCTGGAACCAGAGGTCTATGCACGCTTTAGGAGTTATCAAAACAAAAAAAAAGAGGCAAAGAATAAACCTGCAAGTTGAACGCCCCGTTTGGGCTTCCTGCATAGTTTGCATTCATCTAGCATATTATTAAACATTTGTCTTTGTGTATACAAATTTGTTTTCAGCATGTTATGCAAATTCAACACTGCAGAAACAAACTTGGAATTTTTCCAAATAGTTGGTCTTATCAAGATGCTTGCCAGAATAACTTGTTATGCCTAATCGGTACTAATCATGCGCTTCAAGAGACTCTTATATTGACGTCACAAATGTATGCCAAATTGGACAAAGGAGTTTTATTTAGCTTTTAAAATGCTTAGCCACTCGACTACCTGTTTCTATGCAAATTACTTTCTAATATATTGCAGATGAAACTTGGTACAGATGCAGCTTATTGATGTGGCAATCGTCAACTGGTCTGTTGGGACAACTTTTGGGAAAAAGTAAATGTATATAAATGGAATATTTAAATTTGTATCCCGTTTAAATTCATTAAACTCAGCAAATATCACAATATCATTGATACACAAGTTAGCAATCAAGTGAGTTTCTTTGTCAACATTAACTACACAGAGTTCATTAGATCTCTTTTTGCTTAAAGATATTGGTATCAGTCAGGTAACATGTTTGCAAGGTTGCTTCCACATTTTTAAGAGCTTCTCAACACAATTATTTATGTTAACCATTTAATTTAAATTAAACTCCAATTATAAGTCCATTATCGGACTTGCATCTTCATGCTCTACACTCACAATGCGAAGCGTCATAATTCGTTAACTGTCTTCGAGCTGTCGCGCTTGGGGAATTAAAGTCGACTAAAAGATGCGCTGCGCATGCGCCACGTTTTTATAGACGCCGGCTCTAAACTAAAAAAAAAAACTTTAAGCATATATTTTAAAAAACTGAAGCACTTTTAAAGAGCGAGAACTTACGCAGAGCGGACGCCGCAGTCGAGCAGCAGACGAATGTAAAGTTTAATAACCGGATTAGGCCACGTTTGTTAACGGGTTTCGCGGTTCATGTTGTTGTTGTCGCTGCTGCTGATGGAACTGCTGACCAATTGGGGGACAGTGGCAACTTATGTTTTTGTACAGGTATGCGATGGAGTCAGAGCTGCAAACTCTGTCTTGGCTGATAGATTTGAACTCTGTTGGTTCACGGACGTATCTGATAGATGTATCTAAATCTGTATCTGTAGCAGGTGCCGTTGAAAAGTTAAGAGCGGGACCTATATTTCAGGCATTAACTGTGCTTGTTGCTGTACCGGATGTAATTTATATTGTGGTGGTTTTAAATTAGCCGCAGACAACTTCCTACTTGCTACCTGTTAACAGTAGGTGCAAATTTGTTGATGGTATTTCTGGGCGCCCTAATTGATTTTCGTTCGACTCAAACTGGTTCTCTTTCTAAGCACTCTTTTTTGTGTTTGAACCCAAAAGCATATTAATTTCTTTTCAGTCAAGTGAACGCCCCCATTTGCATATAAATTGAGGGGACCAAGTAAATTAGTAGCACTTTATTGCTTTGTGCTAGGGGAAGATCCATTAATTTGCTATCCATTTTTGCACTTTCTAAGCTTCGGCTTTTACCGGCTTCATTCGCACTGCGATGCATCTGCAAATTATGCAAATTATTTGGTGCTGATTTTTAACACCGCAACTCTCAGTGTGAAGGCCCATAAATTAAATAAACATATAAACTTGCCAGCACCGTTGAGTGTTATTGGCCAATGTTGAACCGGATTTCGTACAATTTAGTCCATGCGATTAAATGCTCGACAGCCCATTGTTAAGATCAGGCTTATGACATTTCTGATAAGATACTATTTCTATCTACAAGCATTTTGTCGGTCATTAAGCAATTATTTATGGTCTTTCTAATTATGATTGTCGACTTGACAAGCTTAATAAAGATTTAACTATTTAAATTTTATATATTCATGTATTCATGCATTCATGCTATAAAAAAGATAAATTATTTGCGTAAATTTATCTGTCATAATGTTATAAATCATTAAAAGGAAATATCAATACTTTTTTAAAGGTGTTATTAAGTCCAACGACCAAGTTCTCTAAAGTTACCAGCAATATATATTTACGCGAAATAAACATACATATTATTTGAATCAATAAGAAATTGTTAAAATTATTGCCATTTATATGATCCCATTGATGTTTTAACTAGATTCTTCGTAAAGGTTTTCTATACATTTTTTTTCTCTAAATACCGAATGCAATTTGCTTTGTGTCCTTTATATTTGATTCAGCTATTGCAGTGAAATCGCTTTTGTCAATGGAAACGAACTTAATTTTTTTAATTTGTTTTCATAGTGCAGAATTAATATTAGCTCCATACATTTTTATTAATTTCTTGTCTTCAATTTTAACCCAAAATTCTTTCAGCAGCACAGTTAACCCTTTCAATTTCGTTAAATTATTTATTACTTTTTACATATTAACGTGCCGCAATTTCATCAAAAGAAAATTATTTATGCCGCAAGCCTTGTGGCGGGCAGGCGCTGCTTCAAGTGTTTCAATTGCCAGTCAACGGCTTGTTGTTTTTTATTTTATACCCTGAACCCATTGAGAATGGGTAAAGAGGGTATAATGTATTTGTGCAAATGTATGTAACAGGCAGAAGGAAGTATCTCCGACCCCATAAAGTATATATATTCTTGATCAGCATCAATAGCCGAGTCGATCTAGCCATGTGCGTCTGTCTGTCCGTCCGTCTGTCCGTCCGTCCGTCTGTGCGTCTGTCCGTATGTATAAGAGCTAGAGAAATTGAAATTTTAGCTATAGATCCTCCTAGTCCCCACGCAGATCGAGTTTGTTTCCGATATTCGATAACTGGCACCGTTTCCAAGTAATCGATAAAAATCGATATCGAAATCCTGTTTTTTGCGCGATTTTGGTAAATAATAAGAGCTAGAGTCACCAAACTTGACATGTAGCTTCTAGAATAGTATATATATATCAAGTATTTTACATTTTATACTTAACGCCTGTTGGAAAAAGAGGGTTCAGGGTATCCTCTAGTCGGGAGCTCCCGACTAGAGCCTCTTACTTGTTTTATTTGGATTTCTCGCTGTTGTTGTTGTTGGCGTTGTTATTGTGGTTCGATTGTGCTTTATACGGAACTCCAACTCCCATTTGTTTTATTTATTTGTATGCATTTATTTATATTTATGTGTATGTGCGTATGTGTTTGTGTGTGTGTGTGTGTGTGTGTGTGTGTGTATAAAACGACAGCTCGCACGTGGGCCCATATGAGAGCTGGCTGAGTCCGATTGGCCTGGTTCCCCCAGCAGGACTCTCATACGTGGCTCTTGTATAACCTGATTGACTGACTGCCTGGATCTCTGCTGGTATGCCTGAGTTTCCTCAGTTGCTTTTATACCCTATAACCAAACAACAGGTATGATAAATCTATGAAAGAGTATGCAACTTTCATAATATATTCACTCTGTGCAATTAATTCTATACGACATATAAAGTTATTTTCTTAAGCATCTTATAATTTAATTTGCTTTATTTCAAATGTTTAAATTGTTTTATTTTTTTTGGAGATGTATATATATATACTTATATATACACAAATCTATGCAAAGGGTAAAGGATAGACATATATAGGGTATCCAATAGCTTTGCATGCCTGCCACTCGTCATTTATTGCTGTTATTTTTTGGGGTGGCATATAAATCGAAAAGTTGTTGTTGTTACCAGACGAAAGGAGAACTGGGACCAACGATGCCTGTCAACGTGTGGAATAAACAATGTTTAAGCCGCCATCGAGAGTTCGAATCCTCCAAACAAGCCCGCCAAAGTCCCATTTCAAGCATGTAATATAAATGTCGCATATTAGAAGCAAATTCTTTAATAGCAGCATAAATATTTTCTTTGTATTTATATGTTTATTAAAATCTAACCAACTGTCTAGTCTCAAAGTCGAGATTCTGTTTATCTGGTCATCGTAGCAACTCGGTCACTTTTAGATGACATTTCTGTCAAGGAATATGCACAATAATAATATGTTTTTATATATTTCCGCAGTTGCTGTTTCTGTTTCTTAGCTTGTGTATCTACGAAACTGATTAAGTGCTTGGCACTCCTTGTGCCGGGTTCAAGGCAACAGCTCGAAGCGCGCTCTGCCCGTTGAGGCAACGTCTTTGGGTTTGTGCAACGTTCAACGTTCAACGTTCAACGTTTTACTTTGCAACCGGAGCTGGCAGTTGTTGTTTTTGTTTTTGGAGCTCGTAGCTGCCAGGTAAACAAGCCGAGGCAGCACTTCCTACTGCCTTGTATTTTGACCAGGCGAGGTCGTTTTGCCTGCCAATCTGTTTGCTCACGAACTGCCCGCAGATGGAGCAGACGCAGCTGTTCAAAGGGGAAGGGGGTGAAGTGACCGTGTGGAGTGTGCTATGAAAGGGGAGTCCAGTTGTCGGTGCTTTTGTTTTGGCTGAGTCGCTTACAACTTCCTGGTCACGCTTTTGGCCTTGCCTTGGGTTGGCTTGGCAGGGCTTGGCAGGGCTTTTGGCTGCCTTCGGCTTGTCGTTGACTTTTTGGCCCGCGTGCCCTGCTTCTGTCCGTTTAATGCTTGGCCCTTGTTGTTGCGCTCGGCCACAAGTTTGTTTTCGTTTTCGGCTGTTGCCAACTCGAGTGCCCCATCCATCAGCTGCGGCCAACTCCAGCTACAGCTCTTAGCTGCCAGTTTCCTTGTAATTAGCACAAAAAAGAGCGTAACCCAAATGTTGGCAACTTTATGTTTTATTTTTATTATTTTTGGGGCATGGCAACCCGCTGAGCGACAGAGACTGCGACTTTGACTCCGGCTACGACTCAGAATGTTGCATGATTTGCGGGCACAAGTCGAGCCACTCGCTGGGCGCACTCGAAAGTCATAAAGTGCAAAAATTGTTACACTCAGGCAGAAATGAATTATGAAAGTTGTTTGCAGTTTTTGTTGCACTCGCAACTAGAGAAAGATAGAGAAAAGCGCCGGACAAAGGCGCCGGAGATTGCGGGGCTACGGCCCACCAAAAACTGTATAAGACATATTTTCTTCTTATTATTTTTATTTTTACTTTTCCTTTTTTTTCCACTCTCTGCCCAGGAAAAGTTTTAGGTTCTGGGAGTTTTGGAGTTTGCAAGTTGGGTGCATATAATTTAATTCAATTTGACTACAAAATATTGCAGACATAATGAAACAAACTTAATAGAGTTTTAAATACTTCAACTTTGTCAAAACATAAATAAAGTTAGGTGAAATTTCATTTACACCATGCACACCTCAGAGAAATGTTTTCAACAAGAAAATGCTGAATAAAGTGTTATAACTTTGTATAATTTTTGTGGTGTCAATTGTATAACATGAGGTTAGTTTTAGATCTCGTTGTTAAATATTTCATTTTGAATAGTTAAAAGTTAAGTTATATCTTATCAAAGCCTTGCTTCAATATAATATTAAATAAAACAATAATTAATTAGCCTCTGTTTGTATAAATGTGAAAAATAAATTCATTTTGGCTGTGATTTTGGTTTGTCACGTCCAGGAGTTGGCGAATTGTAAGCGAATAAATTGAATTAAGTTTGTGTGAACAAGTAAACGCAATTTTCGCAGCCACTGTGGCCGTCATAATAGGCAGGGGAATCAAAAAAATAAAAAATAAATAAATAGAAATAAATACAATTTTAAATAGCTATCCCATTTAAATTGCGTTCATTTGTCTGCTATTGATTGGCCATATGGGCTGACTAATTGGCCTGGG